ATAGAGGGCGGAGCCATCAAGTAGGCGGAGCCAGCGGGCCATCACAACTCTCCAGCTTACTTTGCGTACACTTCTGAGCGAATAAAGTGTCACCTTTCTACAGCTGCAAAGCTGACCACCTCACACCTGGAAAGGATCATCTTTAGGGTAGTCGCAGTGTTTTAGATGTGGTCCTCATGAAGAGCCCAATTTCAGGGTTTCCCCGGCATGGGCTGGTTAGGTGCGCTTGGTGGAGCCGGTATTTCTCCTACTTCTCCATTGAGCACATCGGTACTGTCCGCTTTTTCTACACAACCATTTTCACAAATGTAGGAATTTAGCGAATGAGAGGAAATCCACAAAAGGGCACAATTTCAGGGATTCCCGAATATGAGATGGTTAGGTGCACTTGGCGGCGAAGTTCCACGATACCCACAGGTGCAGGTATGTTTCAGTATTTATAACAGACACACCACTATGCCCTAATACTGTTCAGAAGCACCAAGAAGTCACTGAGTACCCCGTGATCATCATTCCCGAATCAAGTTTCTACCAATTAGGACAACCACCTTCAAGACCGTATCCCATATATCCGCCAACTGGATATGATCAGGTGAGCCAAGGAGAAGTCAAAAAACTTTGGGGTCATGGCCAATGATATCGCTAGGGTAGAGCTAATTGAGACTAAATCTGCTAGAAGGTGTGGGGGGGGCATTAGAATTACTCCTTGCGCTTGCCACGATCGAGCTGAGAGATTGCTCAAGCCTATTGGGGAGATACTTGGCGTCTGTGGGCCGAGTTCGTTCAGCAAAAGCGCGTTTTCCTATGACGGTAACCTCAGTTTTGCGTAACGAGGCCCTAGGGACTGAATACCACCCCCCCCCCGCTAGGGCCTCAATTCTTACCTTCCTGTGTTCACAATTCTAATAATTATTTTTAAACTGTTTTTTTCAGTATGCTGTACCACCTGCAACCTATGCGAGACCACCGTAGGCAGAAAACGCTGGTGGAATGGCGAAAAGCCTTATCAACTTCACGTGATCAGAATTTTAATGAATAAACATTGATTAGCTGAAGTGGTTGTTTGAGATTAATAAACAATAATTATTAAAACATTGTAAAATGTATAAAGAACTAACCTGAGCGTAAGCCATTTGTGTCACCTTTTGTAAGTCATCTTGTGCTCCCGTAGTAATACGCCCAAAGAAAATTTCCTCAGATACACGCCCTCCTAGAGTCATGCACGTCCTGAAACACCGACTCATAATGTCATAAAAAGGAATAAAAAAAGATAAACTAGTAAAGAAGATTTGATGGCCGACCACGACAACTGGGGGATTCAGGATTAATCAACTTATGGAATGCTACTCTATGAAACAGAGAAAATAAAGGAGCCAAGGTAGCTGGGAGAGGGGGTGACGAGACCGCACCGACTCCTGTCGTCTAGAAATTTCTTAGGCTGAACTCACGAAGGAATAGATTGATGTCCCCCCGGTGCAGTTATACGACGGGGGGGCATTTTGTACTACCATTGCTTCGTTCGCTTTACATGTCTCACTCTGGCGAAACCTGTGAACTCTTGTGAAGCTGGAACAAGGTCGTCAAGCCATCATGTTAAAACCTGTCAACTCGAGAAGAGGCTGTCTAGATAGGTCGACACGTCGATGGGAAGTAGAAAAGTGCAAAATGCCCTCCCCCGCCGTCAAACTGCGCCTCCCGCTCCACAGTATCCAGTCTACGAGCGATTTGATCCCTTTGAGAAATCGTTTATACTTTGTGCCAGCTTTTTTTAGTGACTTAGAATGTATTTTTATCAATCCAGCGTTTTGAGCGTTCACGTTTTCAGCGTCTGCTAGCATTTTCAGCGCCTGAGGTAAGCGTATCACTGAAAACGCTTGCGGGCGCTGAAAACGCTGATGCAAAGTATGGACACCTTCTAAATGCGTAATTTTTCGGCTCCTATCTGCGCTCTCCTAGAACGTGCCGCTTTGACCTCACATGTTCCAACTTCTGACGTGTGATTTGCGGCTTGTCAGGCCGGCGTTCTTGCGCAACTTTCGAGGCTTTGGCAGGCGCTACCCTCCATCTGTCTGCGCTACATGACTTCGCGACAGGGCAAGTCAATCAGCTCTACTAGATCTACGTACAACTCAAATCGATCTCTTTAGAAGCGCCAATTTTCTGTTTTTCTCTATGCTCTCTCGTCTGCATGGCCTTATATGACCATTGTGACCCTACACACTCCAACTTCTCACTAAGTCATAAAAGGCTCATCCACCTTAGAATCCACTCCTCTTGAAGAAACTCATACACTGTTCGCGAATGTTATTTGCACATTTCAATCCCTTGGCAGCCACAGTTCTCTACTTCTATGCGCTCTGGCCGTTCGTGCCAGGACCCCCAACGGAAACTCTAGTTGTTCTATGACAGGCGCGTTTGGCGGGCGGGCGTTCTTCCCTACCTTCTGATGTTCCGGCAATCGCTATAGTATGCTATCTGCCTGCGCTACATGATTTCGTGACAGGACTACTCAAACAGACCTGCTGGTCAAACAACCACAATGTCAATGAGAGCCGCAGATAAGCACGCACCCCTTCACCAACTACTTTAGCCGAAAATTACCACAAACCTGTCAAGAAGTTGTTCTTTAGTGTACAAATACTGCTCCTTAGGAAGGTATTGCGCATAGCCCAGTCCTTTGCCTCGAGGTATAATAGAAACCTAAACTTCCAACTTCTTTGAACGTGAAACAGTTCAATAACCGAATGTATACAAGAAATGACAAACAATTCTACTTTGAGTAAGGGATCGGCATGTTCGAGAAACCATCCTGCTACAGCGTGACCTGCCTCGTGATATGCAACTGTACGCTTCTCTTCCGGTTGTAATACCTACGAAAATAACTTTTTTTTCGCGGACGGTCACACAAAATACTTCTGTATGATGATAATAGATGATAATACACATGATGAGATAAGATAAGGTATAGACTGATACCTGACTCTTCTTCTCCATACCGGCCACGACTCTCTCGATCGCCTGCTCGAAGTTCTTTTGAGTTATTTCCTCCGAAGCGTCTCTAGCAGCAATCAATGCCGCTTCGTTACAAACATTGGAAATATCAGCACCTGAAGAAATTCAATTACATGAAAAAATCGCTCATATTTGCGAAAGGAAAGCGGAGTTACCAGAGAAACCCGGAGTATGAGCAGCAAGCCTCCTTGAGAGTTGCACCTTATCCAATGAAGTTTTCAGAGGAGCAAGATGGACTCGGAATATAGAAGCCCGCCCCTTAAGAACATTATAAGAGAATTCTTGGAATAAATTCAAAGGCTCTGTTCGGCATGGGAGGGGCATTCTGCACTTCAGCTAGTTCCCTCTGCTAGTTCATGTTGATTAGCAGATACATTTCGAGGAGAACTCCTGTGCAGCTGCGAAATGGTATACGCGAGCCACTTTGCTTACAGGAATTTACAGGTCTTCACAAAATGGCTTGAACCTGCTTCGCTATGTACCAATTGATGCCCCCCAAGCCAAACAGCACCCAAAGAATAAAAGAACCTTTATATCCGGTACAGGAACATATATTTGCCTATCAAAGCGACCAGGACGTAACAAAGCCGAATCGAGAATATCAACTCGATTCGTAGCAGCTATGACTATCACAGATGACTCTTCCGTAGAAAAACCTGAAAGTACTACTTGAGAGCAAAACAAGTAAAATTTAACTTCAGGAAACTTACCGTCCATTTCGACAAGCAGTTGATTCAAAGTATTCTCCTGCTCCGAGTGCCCACCCATTCCGCCTTTTCCGCCCCTTTTCCTACCAACTGCATCGATTTCATCAATGAAAAGAATGCACGGGCTGTTCTTTCTGGCCATGGCGAACATATCACGAACTCTGGCAGGGCCAACACCGACGAACATCTGAAATCACTTGGGAATTTCATCGAGGACACGGTTACACGACTATTTGAACTTTTCCCGGCGCTATCGGCATGGAAGAGACATCTTGCACTTTCCCTAGTTCCTTTTTGGATAATTAACAGGTTATAATTGGTGAGAATTACAAACCACCTTGGTTACATGGAGTTTACAGGTATTCACAAAGTGGCCTGAACAAGCTTCACTATTTGGTGCCCCCACGAAGCCAAACGGCGCCTTTTCCTTCATGAGAGACAGCAGCGATGCCGTGATAGAGCACCGCTTTAGGATATCCACCACGTAGCCTTCCACCTCCTTCTTTTCATCCTCCTTCCTTTACTTCACTCTTTCACTCGTCCCTCCTTCTTACCCTCTCCCCTTCTTAATCTGGGCCGAAGATGTGACGGAAGTAGCGTCTGGACTCTATCAGCGAGGGAATATACAGTTTGACAAATGCCGACAGAGCATAGCGAGCGCCAGCTCGTAGAAAGATGTGGGAGAACAAATGCAAAACCCAGGACGAGCATTTTTCAGTACAGGGAGAGGGCTCCTGGGCGGGATGGTCATGAAGAAGGGCACGCAGGTGAGAGCAGAAAATTGATAAGATTAAAGGACCAAGTTCAGTCTCTGTCCAGTTAAGTAATCCAGACACGAATACACTTTGAAAAACCTATACCTCCAAGAATTCGGAGCCAGATACGGTAATAAAAGGCACGTTAGCCTCTCCAGCAGTCGCCTTCGCCAGCAACGTTTTACCAGTACCAGGCGGTCCAGTTAAGATAGCACCCTGAACGAATTACAATAACACAAAAATGACCATCGTTAGGGCAAGAAGCAACTAACCTTTGGAATCTTGGCCCCAAGATCTTTGTACTGTTGCGGATTTTTCAGGAAATTCACAAACTCCATGATTTCAATTTTGGCCTCTTCACAACCAGCAACATCTTTGAATGCAACCTAGAAAATATATAGAAAATAACCGACTGAAGAGATCAGGTCGAACGGGGAGGGAAATAACCTTGATGTCCTCCCTGTTGATAATCCTTGCCGTACTTTGCCCGAAACCACCGAACATTCCTCCTAGGCCACCACCACCACCTGCTCGACCTGCACCTTGAAAAAATTCCAGTTTAGATACAACAAATACTTCTTCGGCGCTAGTCCAGTACAGGTAAGAACTTCGATAGTTTACTTTTCATGTACTTCTTTTGACTTTTGTGTGACCCAGGACACAGAAGCGGCTCGGGGATGGGCGAACAAACTCCCCCCCCCCCACACGAATATCGTTTTTTTTGCATAAAGGGACCACGCAGGAATCCTCGACCTACTCATGGCTAGACCAAAACTCCGGCCATTATGCCACCCATATGCATGAGAAGCACTATTCACCTCAAATGTACTATCCCGCTTTCAAAAAATAGAGCCCATATTTCGGCCGAAATTTTTCTTCGGAGGGGGGAGGGTAGACGCGATTGTAATTTTGTCTCCACCCGGTGCTGGCGTCAAAACCTCCTGTGCCGCCAAGCTAGCTAGCCTGCGGATCCATGCTGGTTCCAGCGCCAATTCCTTTACTATTGAAACTATGGAACTAGCCATGCAAGGTTAACTGGAAGAGTAACCGAAATTTGAAAAATTGAAAATGATAGGAGCATAATGCGGCGCAGTTCGGCTTGATGGGGGCATTTTGCTGGTTCCCATCAATCAACGCGTCGCTTGAGATCTGTGAATTCCTTCAAAGCTATGCAATATCATTAGCTTCTTCGCTCTCTTGGCAAGAGTCTACAAATCCTTACGTGTAATGTAAAAGGAACTAGCAGAACAAACTAGCGCAAATGCAAAATGCTCCCTCCTCTGAGCCGATCAGCGCCCATCAAGCTGCGTCGCTGAATCGGTAGCATAAAGACAGCGTGCAAACTCGTAACTCACCTCCAGCCGCTCCACCTCCTTTCAACATACGATAGATATAATAACCAAATAGCAAGGGAAAAGCTATACTAATAATATTTGGAACTTCCCTTTTGCTGAAAAAAAGGCGTTGACTACAGTTTGACGAGCGTGAATGGATTTAAAAGAAAGAAGATATGTGATTGATAACTTACAAATCGAACTCTGATTTATAAAGAACAGGGATTTGCCGATCAGCATCATATCCCAAATGCATTTGTGCAGCAGCTAAACTTCGTTCGAAGCTATCTACACTCCCAATATTGAAGTAGCACGTTTGCTAAACAAAATCAAATGCTCAAAACTGAAACATTGAGAGCCAAAGGATAGAAAGAAACTCACCCCCGTCTTTGCTGAAGAAACAATACGGACCCACCTCTTATCAACAACTTCTAATCGGTCCACCTGGAATCATGGACAGAAAAACTGTATCCTTCACAGCGAACGAGCTGAAGAGTTTCATAAAACTTACAATTCCAGGTTCAAGGAATTCATGGAAAAATTCTTTCCAAGATATCTCTCTGTATGACTGATAGTCTATTATCAAATAAATAGCTATAATGACACCAACACTAATTGCGATTTGTTGCCAACCACCAGGACTGAAAACAAAACAAGTGAACATAAACTTATTCAGAAAAGTAGAACACCGTAATAATCATAAGAAATAAAAACGATATCAAACAGTGTTCGTAGTTCGCGATTCGTTCGCTAGGAACGACCTGAGACAGGACAGCCAAGTATGAATGCCCCTACGCTTGCTCTATGCTATCGCTTCCAGTCGCTTCATTACAAGAGAAGCTTCAGCACCTAGCGGAGCACATGGAGCACATCAAACTGCAGACGAGAAAAAAATTCCCAAATATATAAATAAAACACGATTCTCATCTCCTATCCCCCTTTGGAAGAATGCTTGAACATGACAAGCCCTGGAATCAGGAGAGTCCTCTGTGCATGATTATTTCTCAGAACAGCAAAAATAGAGTTTTCATCCACAGTGAGGTGAGGCCACGCCGCTGTGCAGTTTGAGGGGGGGGGGGAGGGGAATGGTGGGGACATTCTCTAAGTTGGCTAAATTGTTTGACGTAGTTCCAGTCAAACTGGTCGTCTCACATTGGTGAGATCGGTAGGCTCCATCTGTAGGCAACCGTAAACGAAGGTCTTGCTGCTGAATAGAAAAAGAAAATAAAAATTGCAGCAATGCATGATCGTGTACCCGAGGGGATTCGAACCACCAGCTGTTCTCTCTTTCTTTGAAATTACCAGAAGTCACAGCAAAAACGAACAATTACTTGGGGTCTCTTTGGTCTGCACATGAACCTCTATAATTTGCAACGAACTGTTTTGAACAATACTCTCTACGAATTGAAAACCCGCCCTTGTCCGACGGAATAACCGGAAACCTTGAGAAAATATGATTTTAATAACCAAACTACACCATATAGTGCAGGGGAGAATGGATAGTAAAGAAACCTCAGAATTAAAAACAAAAACTAAAGAGAATGGCGAAAACCTACAACTGATCAAAGGGTGATCCAGATCCGCCACTGCCTCCTGAGCTCTTACTCTTTTTAGTATCTGTAATCAGAAGCAATGATACTCACATAAAAAAATAATTAAAAAGCGGACTTGAAAGATCTAACGCACTCAAGGATTTAAGAAACTAAAAGCTTCTCACCTGATGATTTTGGTGGACTGTCTGATTTCTCTTTGTCCGAAGATTTGGTATCATCAGAATCGAAGAACTTCTTGAAACCTTTGGGAGTGGCAAACCAATTAAGCGCATCTCTTACTCGCTTCTCAAATCGCCCTTCAAACCAGGTATCTTTCTGGAGTAACCGGGATACCTCTTTCTGTGACAAGGAGCTTTTATTCTGAAAAATTGGTCCACAATCAAAAAGATTTATTTATACAAGAGCAATCCTTGAACTCACCTTATCGCTAATGGAACTACATGAAACTAGAGGGGACGATGTGGAAGAAAGACATCTCAATTTAATTAAATACCCCGCTCCGTTTTGTATGAATTCGCGACTGCTTCTTCCATTCATACAAACGCGTAGCATACCTAAATAAGCATATTCATCAGGAATTTGCGGAACAAAGAGGCTAGTCCAATATAGAAGACCATTTTGTAAAGACGGCGTGACGCAATTCGGCTTGGGAGGGGCATTATGTACTTTCGCTGCTTCTAGTAATAGACTTGACAGACATTCTTCACGAGAGTCGACATGTAGTCTCTACAGACTTTGACAGGTATCACCTCGTGCCATAAGATTTTACAAATCTCTACTTGATGGCTTGACACGAGCATGGAAAGCAGCGGAAGGGCAAAATCCCCCTCCCCCAAGCCAAACTGCGCCTACAATGCCTATGCCTGGTCGCTCTGTAATCCTGTAAACAATCCGAGGGGGGGGGGAGAGTACTTTCTACAAAATGCAGAAATCAATTTTTTGAACAGCACCGCTGGTTAACCTAACCACGAACTCCTTCTTCCCCGGTGTTTAGGGAAATTCATAGACTCTGAATGAGAATCGTCTCGCCTTTTGCGGTATAAAGGACGATAGAACATCGAAAAACTGAAGGAATGTCTCGAATGAATTCCGAAGCTTTGCAGGACTTTGCTGGACTGAAATGAAATGACCCGGTATATTCGAGGGACTTTACAAAATGGCCCGGTATATGGACCAATGCTTTGACAAGGTTCAGCGAAAAAAGAAAGATGGCAAGGATCGAGGGAAATTGTGAACGTCGCGGTTCCATAAAGAATTGAAGACGAAAATCTGCGCATGAAGGAAATTAATTACTAGTCAACAGCCCACAAAAGGTGATCAACTTTCATGAGTACTAACACCACAAGAAAACACTGCTGAAGGAAAAAGATTACAAATGAGGACTTAAAAGTGATGAAATCCGTGCACTCTATAACCTGGCGCACTCTTTGAAGCGGGACAACTGTTACAATCGTGAGAAATGGACAGAGATGGGAATGCTGGTTAATGAGACTTCCAAATTTCCCCCAGTAGCACCTCCCAAACAGTTCGCAAAAAGTATGCCTGCACAGTGCCGTAGTTTTTTGCAATTTTGAAAACGCAGAATGGAACGGGCCTGTAACAGTTGCCCTGCTAGTATTTCGCAATGGAGCAGGGTCTTTCGCAATAGAGCACGCTCATCGTCCATGCACTCTGGAACAGCTGGCTGTTTATCGCATGCTGTTCCCTGAAGGTGGGCGGGAGGGGACACAAGAAGATTCCTTCACGGTTACAGCTTTTGCAGCGAAGTATATGTGAATATGACAACTATTCCAGAAAAATTCAAAGCGAACCAAATAGAAAACCTACTTTTCGGGCAATCCGAGTAACTGAAATAGTGTTGCTATCAGCAATAAACAGTTCCTAGTTATTTGAACCTGAAAACCTGACTCAATAAATGACACGTTCTCACACAACCACTTGGAAGTAATGCGTTTCAAACTAGTGGACTAGTGTTCCTACACTATTTGTCGTTGCTTTTGGTGCCAGTGCGGTAAAGAGGACATCTGTTTTTGAGTAATAGCTCCTTTGCTGCCGGAAGTCCGCACCTGCCGACCTTGGATATATCAACGTCGAGCTAGAGCATTGCGGAACGGGTAGAACCCATGGAAGAGGAACACAACACAACCCGTAGAGTCTTGTTCGCTGCGGACAAACGGGCGTTCCAGGCGGGATGAGTTTACCGCGGTGCGAAATCCGTTCTCCTCCAGCCATTGGAGCGAGTGAGTGACAAGTCTGTAGAATGCCACTCGTTTTCTGCCAATTGTTGTTGTCGCACACCTGCTTCAAAAGTTGGGAGAGAGCGGGTTTTTCGCCATGGCACGTACTGCCTGACACGCCCCTTGATCCGCAGCGAATCGGGGTGATATAAAGTAGGTTCGCCTTCAGCTCGCCTGTTGAGCAATTCTTATCTGGTCCTCTTCGCTAATTCTCTCGAGCACACGGTTTACAGAAAAGACTTGACAGAGAGATGCGGGCTCAGAGGAAGGACTCCACCTAGGCCTTTCCTGCGATCTCGCCAACTGTCTAGATTCCGCGCCAAAGTTGTGGTGGGTGAAAGCACTTTTATCAATGTTGCTAGCAAGACAGCGTCCAGACTTCGCCGTAACGTGCTGTGACGCGCTGTAACGCGCGTCGATGCGCTACCATTACAACAGCGCTCTGATGCTACAGACGAGAACGCAGCTATAGACTGATATCGATGGCCGCCGGAAAATTACTGCTTCGAGAGAGAGAGTATGGGAGGTTAGAAAGATGCGCGTTGGCTAATCACCCAGTCTGGCACCCTCTTCTTCTATACTCTCTCGAAACACTGGCAACCGGCTCCGATTAATATCAGAGAGTTTGGTTAGGCAACCCGTATTCTCCTATTCTGCCATTCTCTCTCAAGCACTAGCACCGATGGCAAGGTGCAACGGTCTAAAAGAAGTTCTATTTTCGGGAGTGATTGACTTTGCGGCTTACATCGGTCCAATGATTTGCAGAGGAGCGCGGCCTTTTGTGGGTGCTTTGAGACTTGGGGTTAATTTAACCCTTTTGCGCCAAATAGCTCGGTGGTTCAATATACGCGAGAGCGAGAGATAGCACGAGACTTCATCTGGTGAATGCAGAAGAAACAGTAAAGTGGCAGTATGAGATTGTCTGTTTGAGTTACTACAGCCCTATGCCCCGACAGTTGGGGTCGAAGGGGCATCATCGGAGACGATGATAGAGCCGTTGCAGCGAAGCGAATTGGAAATCGCAAATCGCTCGATTCGCAAAGTATGAACGCGGTCTCGTCCTTGTGGCCATCTTAGCCGCGATGTTAATTCAGCGAAAACGCAGTCCGGACCCGCTTCAATTTGATAAAAAAATATAATGATGAGTCCAGTTGCAAAGATAAGTGATGACATTTCTTTTCTTAATACTTTTTACCCGAAAGGCGGAGGCGGTGTGATGGCCGCCGCTAACCATACTCGCAACGGGAGGCCAACTCTGTGATCGATGCCCGCCTCGGCCAAACAAGCCTTGAAGGCGTCCGGAGTAAGATAGTTGGTGCCAGACTCATCTGAGAGTATAACTGCCTTTTACATCGGCTTACTCCTGTAAGTCATTGTATGGGTCAAATCACTGTCAGAATGCCGCCGCGGTCGTGAATGGAAGTAGAATGCGTGGCGTATCCCAAAAAGAAGCTGAAAGCTTTTTCTTTCCTACTCTTTATTACACCTTTGAATAAAATACGACATAGGAGTTCGTTTTTCTTCACTTCCTAATGTCTCTAATGAATAATGCTGACGTTTTCCTTCCCAACCAGCATTAGTGAAGGAAGATCACTCCGAGCAACCAACCTGCGCGAATCGGCGGCGGCTCTAAGCCGAGGCAATGGGCCT